TCACAAACTAGGGTTCATTACATTTATAGTATTAACAGGTTTGTCATCAATATTTATGTACCGATTTTTGATGAGGAAATAAATATAAATACTAACTCCAATTCTAGTATTGACGATCTCAGTACTAGACGTGAATATCCTTGATGCTGCTGCCCATCGTTAGTCTTTGTGTTTTACGCTGTGTCACAAAGTAAGTTCGTGGGCCACCTGCATTCATCAACTTCCTGCATGTCTTACCAGGTCTTCACTCCATCTTGTGGGGGGTTGCCCTACTCTTCACTTACAGCTACGAGGCTGCTACTCGAGAACCTTTTCTCCCCATCGGTGTTAGGTTCTTTGAACTAGAGCCAGCCCATTGCCACTTCATCTTACTAATCCGTTGGGTTATGTCAGTCACTTTGGTTCTGCTGCGGATATACTCATTTCTAAGTATATCACGCAAAAAAACACCGTGCTTAGCCCTCTTCATAGCTTGCTGAGCCACCTTGAGCGTCCTCATACGGCCAGCAGTGAAGGACCACGTCCCAGATCGATTAGTCATCACTGGCATCATGCACTAGTTGTACAGTCTCGTTTTCAAATTTTGAGGTCTACCAGACGATAAGATGTGTCGTAATTTCCCCGACACTGCCCAGCCGAGTTGAATGCGTCGGTTGACCTCTCGGTTGAAATTGGACTTACCTAGTCGGACTATTTGTCCCAGGTAACATACTCGTCAACAACTTCAAGCTTAGTACTCCCAACAACTACCGGCATAGGTGTGACATGGACGTTATACATGATCTTTCTTTTGTCCATGTTCATCTTAAGACCTATCCGTTGGGAGGTACTATTGAGGTCATTGATCGTAGTGCTTAGGTCCTCCAGCGATTCTAATATCAGGACTATATCGTCGGCAAATCGAAGGTGAGTGATATATATAGGCCATTGATGTTAATAACGTATCCTTTCCATTCCAGTTGCTTGAAAACACCTTACAATGCAGCGGTGAAGAGTTTCGGGGATATTACGTCACCCTGTCTTACACCTCTCTGCAGTTGGATAGGTTTCATAATCTGGTTCTGTACTTGGATAGCTATCGTAGCCCTAATGTACAAACACTTCAGCACTTCGACAGTCCACTTGCTACCGCTGGAGGGACTGTAGCACCGCACAAATTTTGACGGAATCAAAGGCTTTATCATAGTCCACATACACAAGATAAAGTAGCAAATTGTACCTTCGGTCTTCAATATCATTTGTGGAAGGGTATTCATATGGTCTATAATGCTATCCATTGAACCGTCCATGCCGCGCGAGTGATTCTCGCCCCACCTGTCGGCGCAGTAAAATGTAACTTTTTTTACGACCGCACGAGACTGTAGCAACAAAAACGATTACTACTGAAAAACTACTACACCTACATTCAAATAAAAAAATATTTTCAAAAAGCTCAAGGAATTCAGAATTTACTTTGTTAAAAGAAAATTGGTCAAATTAAAAATAAAAGATAAAAATATAGCTTTCCAAGAAAGCTTTTTTCTTTTTTTTTGAGTTTCCAAGAAAAGTATAATATTTACTAGAGAATTATTTTATATTGTAATAGTACATGATATTTCCTTTAAAATAACACTAATTACAATACCATGTTATATTCTCAATATAGATAAATATATTATATTTACTCAATATAAATTTTAATAAATAAATAAAAATAAGTTTTAATAATTTCAAGACACAACTCAACATACGTTTACTTTATTATAAATGGCTATCAACGTGGTTATAGTGAATCATTCATTTCATCATCATCATCACCATTACAGCCCTTCACAAGTCCACTGCTGAACATAGGCCTCCCCCAAAGAATGCCACAAAGCACGGTCCTGAGCCACCTGCATCCATCGACTTCCTGCATATCTTACCAGGTCGTCACTCCATCTAGTGGGGGGACGCCCTACACTTCATTCACTTATATTCACACATCATTCATTTATAATTAGCATTTATTTGACAAAAAAAAACTATTAGAGTACTTTTTAAACAACATTATATAATCAATAAACGATGATCGCGTATAGTGATCTTGAATGTGTGATAGTGATCATGATTAAAAATTTTTTTCTAAAGTAATTAAGTAGTAGTTTCTAAAGTAATTAAAATTTTAAAAGACACGATTTAACTATGAAATACAAATCTAGAGCACGTATAGTATCGGCTGATGACTTTAAAATAAACACATTAAAAAGAGGTAATATCTACTACTAATGAACTTCAAGATTTATGTTCCTACACGATGTACCTACATGTAAGTCATCATGCATCGATCATATTTTGAGTAATACTCCGGATGCAACTGCAATAGTGTTACCACTTTATCTATCTGATCACGACATAGCACAATTGTTAAGCTTTCCTTTAGAACGTGATATACAAAAGCAAGCGATATACTATATTTATAAAAGAGATTACAACTTAGATAATATTAGGAAATTTAAAGAATGTCTACAAAAAATGTATTGGTCTGAAGCTCTGAAGCGTATACGGCAAATGATGCTAACGTCGCTTTCAGTAGTTTTCGTGACTTATTATGCCTTTTATATAATTTTTACTTTTCCAAAAGTACGAATTAAAGTAGATATAAATAGTAATAAGAAACAAAATTGGATAAGTAAAGGAATCAAAGCTAGTTCTAAAACCAAACAAATCCTAAGATATAAATACTACTTTTAACAGTGGTAGAGCCACGCGGCGGCTTTTGCTGTCGCACGGATGGGCCGGCTCGAACCGGGGTGGTACCACGACCTCACAGAATACCAACGTGAAGTAGAGGTTTACCTCTGCGTTTCGCTTGGTGAGTGCAGGTGGCCGGAGGCCCTTTTTACTGGAAATGAGGCATTCCATCTTAGTCCTCACGGGTGACAACGCATCTGCATTTTGATTCGCAAACGAGAATAGATGTAGATGTCTATGGGCCGCAGCAACCACTTACCATCAGGTGGACTGTGTGCTCGTTTGTCACCCTTATCTTATAAAAAAAAAAAAAAAAAAACTAAAGAAATACAAATGCTGTTAAAAAATCAAAATATATGACATATTCCAAATTATTAAGGAAATGTATTTATAATTTAAAAAAAAATGCCAACATAAAGTTTATTAATATAAATGACAGCAAGTGTAAGGCCACGTGGAACATTATTAAAAATTAAATAGCTAGCTTACATAACAAAAATAACATAGAAAAAATTATGATTAATAACGCAGTCATCACGAACCCAATAGAAATAGCCTCTGCGTTCAACAATCACTATATTAATTCAACACACGAAACAACACACAAAAAGAAGAAACTTACTAAGTTACAGTTATCATATCAACTCTAAGTTTCTTAACCCTTTACTTGGCAGATATTTTTTTTTTCCTTATTTTAATGTTTTTCTTTCAATCAGGGTGTTTATTTAGGTAAATAAAAGGTGAATAAAATATTTAAAAAAATCTTTTGCTTTTAGATATTTTTTTATTGAACGTATCCTGCAGTGCACACTGCCAGGTAAGCAACAATTTACATGATAAAAAGTACGTATCCTGACAGATACAGTGCCATGTTTACATTGTAACAAAAAATAGATTCTAATTGTAATTAATCAACAATTATTTATCATTTTTATTATCAAATAAACAGTTTTATAATTATGAGATCACGTTATATAATCAAACAATACAAATTATTTGCTTTAGAATACTATTTGGTATGATATGCATGAAAACAGTTTCGTTCTTCTACCAAACAAAGTCTTAATTTACATTTTTGACAATGAATTGGCTTTTTGTGCAATTTTTTCCACCTGCCTTTAGTTTGAAATACTGGCATATGCCCAACTTGAACTTATCATACAGCGACAATGGGTCTCTCTGCAGCTGGTTTTTTATTAGGGGTACATAATTTTTGAGTTTATTGGCAGAAACGCCTCTGTCAAACAAAAGTAAGCTTCGGTAAATTTCATATCTGAATTCTTTCAATGGCATTAATTTTGACTTATTTGATGCACCTCGTCGGTACATAATCCAAGCGTTATTACATATTACATATATTACACATAATACATACTTCAAGGATTTGCGAAAACAGAGGTAGATACAAGCGATGTCCCTTGAATTCTGTAGTGTATAACGCAATAAGCATATCCACGCCACCCATATTGGAGTTGTACTCCTTTATCATTCGTGGACATGGTACTGGTATTTTCTTTCTCAGTACTTTGTTATACCAAGAAATACCGTGGTACAGTTTGGAGAGTATGTGAGTCTACGTATGTGCTTGCAACAGTGACGCATTTGTGGTCGTACCACTTGGTAACAACAATCTTGTTTTTGTTACACACAACCTGAGTATGTGTACCTCACTTTATTTTTTATTTTTTTATCAGTAGGAAGTTTCTCCGGTGCTCCACGAAGTCGGTTGAATCTAACAGTTCTAAAAATACCGTATCCATTTCTCAGTCGGTGCATCAATTTAATTTAGATAAAGAAGTTGTGAAAGCACAAGATTTTACAAGCAGGCTGGCAAATGGATTTGGCTAGAGCTATGACGACTTTTGCAACTTATCCCATGCTTTCTTCTTCTTCGGTAAACAAAGTGAACTGGAATGTATCTTCCCCTCCATATAGCAAAGTCATATACAATGCCCGAAACACCCTAGCTTTGGTGAACTAATTTCAGCAGCTTGTAACAATAAAATTGATGATGATTGCCTTGGTGACAAAATTGATGGCGAAGCGCAAGTATTACTTGCAGGCGATGAGTACAGTTGCAAAGCTGAAGAATTGTGCGTTATTTTTTTTTTTTTTTAATAAGATACTAGTAATGCTATTATTAAACATTACTAATATTCCCTTTAACCACTTCTGATAAGCTTAAAATGCTTGTGTTAGCAGTGGTTCACGACAGTAGTCGAATGGTGGATTCGAACCCACGACTTTTCGAGTTCGCAGTCTGCGCCCTGCCATTAGGCTACTGACGCTTAATCATTCATTTCATCTATCTCTTTATTGCTATCCGATAATAGGTTTAGATCCAACAAAGACGATGGCAAAGATGGAGCTGGGGAGCTACTGTCGGAAAGAGTTGGAGGGATATACTTATATAACTCATCAGCTGAATCATCTCTGCTACCTACATCTGATCTAGCTCCAGATTTTGGAACTAGGGCTAGAATTCTGCGGGCTCTGTTTAGTTGTTGTTGAAGCTTTTGTTGTGAAATCTGGAAACAAACATTTATTATCGTACAGCTTATCTTAAATATGTATGAGCATTTGTACCAAAGCATACATAATTATAAAAAAAATATATTTCTATCTACTACAGTTACTGTACAAGTGTTACACAAATTTTTTTTTTAAATGTATTTAAATGTGTTGATTAGGAATACAAAAAATCAACAATTATCTTTTTTTTGCATAGACATACATTCACTGATAAACTGGCAGTGTATCTTCATAGATACATGTCAAAGTAGCACTAGTTTCTTGCGCAGCTGGCAGTGTATACTCAGAGATACATATGGACAAACTGAGTTGTAAAATGGAATATATAAAGTTTTGGTATCAAAAAACTACATCCAGGAATAATATAGTATTACTGCATTTACTTTCACTTCAAATAATAATGAAAAATGCATAAAAAAGTAGCAAAATACATAATACTTACCGGCTTGTGCGTAGACGCCTGCTTACGGTCTACCATCTTGCGGGCTACTGACAGTTCAGTGTTACCAGCAATAAAACTATAAATCCTACTAAATATCATACTTCATAAACTAACTTATTACAAGAAAAACTATGTCAAAATTCGTTTAGTTTTCCTACAATATTTTTTTAAAGAGCAGTGTATCCACTGATGCACTCTGCCAAGTTAAGGGTTAAACCTATGTCAAAAGACGAAGTTAAAAGAGAGACAATGTCATTAAAAAATACTAGTTCTGCGGGCTATGACGACATAGGTACAAAAATTATAAAAATTTGTGTCAATGAAATTATAGAAATCTTGACTCATTTAATAAATCTACCTTTTTCGTGTGGAACTTTTCCAGATGCGCTTAAGTTCTCCACTGTTACACCACTGTTTAAAAAAGGAGAGAGATAGTCAACAATTATCGCTCAATAACGTTGATGCCTATTATGTCCAAAATATATAAAAAATGTATGTACAAAAGAATAATCGAATTCTGCTACAAATGTAATATTATAATTAACGAACAATATGGATTTCAAAAAGACAAATCTACAACGTTGGCCATTTTTTCTCTCATAAAAATAATACTGGAAAATTTAAATAATAATCATTTAACTACAGTGCTATTTTTTTACCTATCTAAAGCTTTTGACTTGGTCTCATACAACCTCTCGCTACAAACACCCGAATAGCTTGGGATTAGAGGACCTACTCTTCAATGGATATCTTCATACCTCAGTAACAGACAGCAATGTGTTACAGTCATGAAAATAGATGAAAATAAGGATCTCATAAATTGACGGCTCCGTGGCGCAGTGGCTTAGCAATCAGTTGTTGCGCTGGGGGCCGCGGGTTCAAATCCCGCACGGAACAAGTATTTGTATGGCCTACAAATAATTGTTCCGCGTCTGTATGTTTGTCCTTGTGCAATTTATGTTTGTAAACTGCCTCCATGACACAGAAGAAAATCCTAGTGTGGGAGTAACGTTTTTTAAAAATAATAAAAAAATAGGTATGGCGTTCCACAAGGAAGTGTGCTCGGTCCTATTTTATTTCTATTATATATAAATGCCATTGTTAATATAAAAAATCATAAATGCATATTATTTGCAGATGACATTTCAATAATTGTGACCGTTAATAAAAAATATAATCTTTATATATAAAAATTACGTGTCACATTGTTTATCCGTGATGAACTCTTAAACTACTGAACTGATTTTAATGAACTTTTTCACACTGTGTGCAGTTTGGTCCTACTTGAGAGATAGGACACTTTTTATCCCGATAAGTGACCTTCAATATTTTTTTATTGCGAATTTAAGGATTTTTTCATAGGAAGGGTCGTCGGAGAAGGCAGAACAACGCCTGCCTGCACAGCTAGTACTAATATAATACTTACTTATCTTCACGCACAATCCCTGACGGGGTAGTCAGAGAGAACAGATCGCCAAGTGTCACGATCCTTACATACCTCTTTCGCTTCTTTCAGATTCATTATCTTCTTCATACATGCATGTCTAGGTATCCGAGTACTCTTGACCCTACCCTCTTCGAGCAATTTGCTCACATGGTCTTCGAAAGATAGTCTCGGTCTACCTCGACACCTTTTAATATTAACTTTCGCGCTATATATTTTCTTCACCATTCGGTCTTCACTCATTCGCTCAACGTGCCCATACCACCGAAGCACGCCCTTATCAATTTTTGTGATAAGGTCATCTTTCAAACCTGCCATATTGCGAATCTCTTCGTTTCGCTTTCGGTCGGCCATGGTAACGCCGCACATTTTACGAAGAGATCGCATCTCCACTGCATTCAACTTTCTTTTATTCTTCTTCTGGCATACCCAGGTTTCGCTGCCATATAACAAAGTCGGTACCAACACTGCGTTATGTATTGCAAGGCGTGCACTCTTCACTACGTCTTGCCTTTTGACTAACGCAGTCAGGACACCATTGACTTTGTTCCCGGCAGCGACACGCCTGTCCACATCTAAATCACATCTTCCATCCCGGCTAAAAGCACTCCCCAAGTATACAATTTCATTTACCTGTTCCAGACATTCCTGATTTACCCATATTTCACAATTCGTTCTCTCTTCGTCCCTTTCAAATACCAGAACCTTAATTTTATTAGCATTCAAATGGAGAGATCTAATTTCACATTCCTCTTTCATACACGTGACTAATGCCTGCAGTTCTGCCTCTGATGGTGCAATAAGCACTGCATCATCAGCATACAGCAGACAATTTACTTTTATGTCACCCAATTTCACACCCAAACAGCTATTCTTTAAGCTTTCAGCTTCTGTAAACAGCTGTCAAGATACAGTATGAACAGCCAGGAAGACATGACACAACCCTGTTTTACGCCCGTTTGGATGCTAAACATGGGTTTACAAACACACACGCACACAGGCTTTACAAACATAGTAAAGAGACTGCACAGCCCTTAGCAATCGACCATCCACACCATACCCTGCAACAGTTCCCACATTTTCTTCCTTACAACCTTATCAAATGCTTTCTCAAGATCCACAAAAGCACATAAAATCTTCTGGTTAGCAGCCAGAAGCTTTTCCGTGATCATGCGGAGAGAAAACATTTGATCCGTGCATCCTCTTCCAGGTCTAAATCCGCATTGTGCCTCCCATAGAAATCTTTCTGATTTCTCTTGCATCCTACGTGTCAAAACCTTCGAGTAAAGTTTACTTGCTAAACTGGTCAAGCTGATCGCCCGATAGCACCCGCAGTCAAAATGTGAACCTTTACCTTTATATAAAAGCACAATGACTGCGGATCGCCAATCATCCGGGACATCCCCCGTCCGCCAGCACAAATTGCACAGCAGATGAAAGCTGTCCCAGACGCGAGGCCCACCATACTTGACCATTTCAGCAGTAACTCTGTCTAGTCCCGCAGCCTTACCACATTTCAAACTTCGAATCGCACGTTCAATCTCTTTCATTCTGATGACCTCAGTGTCATCGAGGTCCGGGTCTGGCGTACCAGTCACGGCGTCATCCCCGGATCCCTCACTAAGATCATCACACGCATACATTTCTCTATAAAATTCGCTCCATCGCTGCATGACGTCCGATTTTTCTGAGAGGACGTCATTAGTTCTCGAAAGCACTTTGTTTATTCTTAAGGCCGTCGCACCACTTCGGGTCCTTCCAACCTCTTTCCAGAAGAGTTTGGAGTTCTCCTTAAAGTTGTGCGACAACCTTTCGTCCGCTTTTATTCTACACCTTTCACGCACTTCCTCAATCAATGCTTTCGTGTGAACTTTCTGCAGCCTATATCTTTCTTTCATCGTCTCTCTCATATGCTTATCATTACTAGAGGCCAAGTAGTCTAACCATGCTTTCTTATTCTTCTTTACAGCTTCTTTCACTTCATCATTCCACCATGCATCTCTTCTTTTACTACTGCCTCTTTTTATTGTTCCACACACTTCTTCCGCTGCACTTACCACTCCTTCCCTAAGGTTCTGCCATGTTCTTTCTACACATTCTTTTCTGCCATCGATGGTGTCAAGCTTTTCGGCTACCCTCGCATGATATTTGTCCCTAGTATCCGCTTCCTGAAGCTTCCAGCTTCGGATGCGACAGACCAACTGTGATTCTGTTACTGCCGTCCGGTAGCGCCAACCCGCAAACAGATCCCTAAATCTGGTAATCACTAGATAGTGATCCGTTCCCAGGTTAGCACCCCTGAACACTCGTGTATCCATCACTTGTTTTCGCAGTCGGTCATCCACCAGGAACAAATCGATCATACTTCTCTCATTCTTTCGTTGTCTAGTATACATATGGATTTTCTTGTGATTAAACATAGTGTTTGTCACAAGAGGACCATTTTCCTTGCATACCGCCAGTATAAGCTTGCCAGCATCATTAACCCTTTTATCGCCAAACTTTCCAAGTACCGACTCGTACCCTGGTCGAGCGGTACCAACCCATTCATTCAAATCACCACATACAACAATTCTTTCGTTTCCCCTAGCCAAATCTAGAACTTCTCTTACATTCTCCCAAAACTCCTCCAGCTCAGCCCTGGACGACGAAGCTACCGGCGCATAAACAGCCAAAAGGAATAACTTCGTCAGTCCCAATTTAAAGCGAACCCAGAGAAGTCTTGAGTTCACAACCTTATATTCAGTCATAACATCGACCAACCGAGAAGACAGCAGCACCCCCACTCCCTGACAGGCGTTCTCGCTCTCCGTGACTCCGGACCATAGAGCTAACACCCCGCCAGGGAGCTCTTCACTGCCCTTCCGTTTGGTCTAATATTTGCAATAATACTTAAAAGTCAATTTACTTTAATACCATACCATAAAGTTTAAGTGTTAGTGGAGGGGTTCCGGGAAGGCAAAACAATTAAGTGACATTAGTATCGTATAAATATTAATGTCAATATTTATACGATGGTAACATTACTTAAATGAGGATATCCGCAGTAGAACCAGAGTGACCGACATATCCCAACGGATTAGTAAGCTGAAGTGGCAATGGGCCGGCCATATAGCTCGAAGAACCGACAACCAATGGGGAAGAAAGGTTCTCGAGTGGCAGCCTCGTACCGGCAGGCGAAGTGTTGGGCGTCCCCCCACTAGATGGAGTGACGACCTGGTAAGATATGCAGGAAGTCGATGGATGCAGGTGGCTCAGGACCGTGATTTGTGGTATTCCTTGGGGAAGGCTTATGTTCAGCAGTGCACTTGTGAAGGGCTGTAATGTATGAAAAAAAAACATTACTCAAAAAACAAAATTAGGGTTCTGCGCAAAAAAATTGATACACATGAAATCGTAGTGAATTCCACGCGGGCGAAGTCGCCGGGCACAGCTAGTAAGAAGTATAATTTTAATCTTAAAATACCAAAAATAAAAGCAGTAACAAATTAAACATTTTTAGGAATGACTATAGATGAAAATTTAAACTGGAAATTGCATGTAAAGGATGTATCTACGAGATTAAATAAGTTTGCATACGCCTTTGCATACATTTAAAAAACCTTACAAACATAAAAACGGCTGTTCTGTCCTACCATGCATACGTAGAGTCAAT